TTCGGGTTAACGGGCTACAAGACCAGGCTTTCCCATCTTAGAGCCACATGACTTAACTTTGGACTTTTGGGTCTGGGGAACCTCAAATCCATGGCATCCGCACCCTTCCGGACTACGAGTGCTGGTTTTTTTGGCGGGAGGCTCCCGCACTGGACCCGACGACCGAGTCCCCCGAGCGAGGCTCTGGGTGGAGCGGCTGAAGTTCTTCTGCGACGGCTGGAACCTCCTGGACTTTGTGGTGGTCTTGGTCTGGGCCTTGGGCCGGGCCTGGCAGGCGCAAGCCGCACGCCGAACGCCGACAGCGCCCAACAATTTGGGGCGGGGGCTGGCGGGGCCTGGCGGCGGCTTTGGGATGAAAGGAGGGCGGGGGGGGATCAGGACCACCCGCGTTGGGCCCATTTCTGGGGGTGGGGGGGTGAGATGGAGGTGTGGGATCTCAGGAACTCTGCGGCAACGTCTAGCTTTCCTGGGTCTGGATTGCAACATGGATTGCAGCTTTCCAACGGTTTAGCTCGGTCTTCCAACGGCTTGGGATTTTGTTCGCTTGAAACACCTCCCAAGTTGCTGCTTGGGAGGCTTCCTTTGGGCAGAGCACTTGGGGGGGAAAGTTGCGAGTTGCTTTTTATTTGGGAGGGTTTTAGTTTGGACAGTACACGAGGTGCTGTGCTAGTTAGCTAGTTCCAGATTCCACATCGATAGTGGTAGTTCTTCCAGTTCTACTAAGCTAGGCTTGAACGTGTCTTGTACGCTTTTCGTTTTGTTTGCTTGCATTTGAGCACTTGATTGCTTGTTTTCTGCGTGTCTGAGGATTCCCATCGAGTTTATTAGTAGGTGGTTCTACCTGGTTCATGGAATTGGTTTATCGCCCTGCAAACAGCCTGCAAACACCTAGAACCAAAAGTCACGGGGGTTTTGGGCACAGTGGATTGGCGGCACTCCAAGTCAAGCACCAAGGTATACCAAGCAACCAGCAAGTGCGCCTCACTCGATTCGAGGGGAAGCGAGTAGGTTGAAGCGTCGGAAGGTGCACCTGGGCTGCGAAAGCCATGATTCAGGTTCTTGAAAATGAGTTCGTCAGGGTTCATGCTTTTCAGAAGCGATGCTTAGTCACACCGGAGATGCACGTGTTTCTTCGGGCCAGTCTGCATACCGGTTCCGGATTCCTGTCGGCTTGTTCGGTAGAGCTGATCTTCGCGGGTCTGGATTCCGGTTCCGCGGGGTTTGGAAGCGCAAGGTTCCGCAGGTTGTCGCGGATCTCTGGGTTGAGCAGCTTGGGAAGGTTAGGGAGGGTATGGGGTCGGGGCTTCCCAGGCAATTCCTTCGTTTCCCTTTTCTTTTTTCTGAAGAACAACGATTCCTGCTATTGCACCAAAGGGGGTTGTCTCCAAATAGGGAGGCCCACAAAAAGGGTGGTTCCCTTTGGTTTTCTAAACAAACACCTCACCCACAAAGTACACGGAGCCGCGCAATCAGATATACACCAAGGGTTGGAGAGATACCACCTGGTTTGGCCTTTCTTCTCCGCAGGGCCTGCCTGTGAACTCCCAGATTCTCCGCCTGGGCCGTCTTTTCCGGCTGCTGCGGATGTTGCGATTGGTGCGGAAGATCAAGGACGATCTTTCTGCAAATCGGTTATTCCTCTCCATTTGCTTACCTATCCAATATTTCTAACTATCTACCCATCAATCTACCTGTCAACCAACCTATCTAGTTATTGTTGACCCCGGATGAATAAACCCCAGTTTACTAGTAATTATGGGAGTGTTCCTGGGTTCAGCATTTTTTTTTTCATAAATAAATAAATAAATCAGTTTTGGAGGGGCCCCCACCCCCAAAGGAATGAACCGGGGCTTTTTGGCATCCGGGGTCAGCATGAATTAGCTCTCCACCGAGCCATCTCTCCCGTTTCAGCCAGCCCCGGATCAACTCCTCACGTTTTGGTCAGGTAATTCTCGCTTGGTTTGCGGGATGCCGGGAGAAAAAGCCCACCCCGGCTTGTACCTACACCCCCTTAGGGATTCCACAGATGGTGGATTGGATTTGGATTTGAGTTCTCAGTTCCTTAGGGCAGGTACCCTCAAAGTCTAAACCAAACCTAGTAGAACCAAAGCCTGCAAGGGAAGGCTGGGGCCGGGCATGTTTCTTCATTTGTCAGGCAAAACACGGCTCAAAATTAAAGAGTTAGGGTTACACAGGTTAAAGTCTTTGTTTCCATTTACCTTATGGGGCCATTTTGGGTACAGTTGTTTGCGCAAACACACAGAGACACACTCATATATACAAGGTGCATTCGCTCATCAGCTGTGTTTGCCAAGGCCCTATGTGCGGAATCCTGGGGGGGGGGGGGGTTCAGGAAGCAATCGAACCCTATGAGGCTGTATATTTGGCCTTCACAGGTGCTGCTAGCCTCTTTTTCCCCAACAGCTGAAAGCTTGGGGGTCTCAGCCCAGATAGGCTCCGGGGTGGTCCGGGGCGGCCCTAGGTAAGCACCAGGGTTCCACTAGGCCTAAAAAGATCACCGCATGCTGTTGGGGATATCACAAGAGCTTTTTTTTTTTGGGGGGGGGCATGAGAAACTAGGGCAGAAGAAAATTCTGGGTTTCATGATATGTGCCGTTGTCCTTGATGCCCCGCCGCGGATGGGCATCAACTGGCGTACTTTGGTATCGAAAGGGATATCACAAGGGCTGTTTTCCAGAACCAACACGACGTCCAAAGGTTCCCAATCAAAACCGCACGGTCCTTTGGTGCCGGTTGTTGGCGTTGATTGGAACCACGGCAACCATACCTGGGATGACCCTTGGGGAAAAAAAACAACACTACAAAGATTTGACATTTTTTCCGCATCGGGAGCAAGTTACCCGTAAGCTGCCGGACCTGAAGATCAAATCAAGCCACATGTAACTTGAGGCATGGCTTTCCTTTCTCTTTTTCGGTTGGCGTAAGGAAAACATCCATCTTCCTTCGGTTGGTTTTGCGGTTGGCTACCTGTGTTTAGAGTGTTGGACCTCCACATCCAGGAGTTCGATGCGCTCTTCTTGATGACCACGGCCATCCGCAGCAGCTTCATGGCTTCTTGGCGAATCCTTCCCGCCTTGTCGCTCGCACGTCTCGCGCCGGGCCGTGCCGGGCCAGGGGGCGGCGGGGGAGGCACCGAGTTTTTTGTTCTTTTCTTTTTTCCCCAACAGCTGAAAGCTTGGGGGTCTCAGCCCAGATAGGCTCCGGGGTGGTCCGGGGCGGCCCTGAGGCAGGGTTCCACCAGGGTTCCACCAGGTTTCCACGAGGTTCTGCGAGGGCTGCGGGGTGGTTCGAGCACTAAAAAGAGCACCGCATGCTGTTGGGGATATCACCTGAGCTCAGCTCCCCGGGTTTCGGGGAGCCCCGGAGCCCGGGGGAGGTGTGTTTTTTGTGTTCCCGGAAATGGCACTTCCGGTTTTTTCTCCTGCTGGCGGGATAAGTAGGGAATGAGAAATGGAACGAAAGAAGGGGGATTCCCCACCAGTTGGATGGTTTCTAGGGGTAATTTCCAATTCTCATTCCCTGGAGCAGAAGGTGAGGTCATATTGAGTGCTGTGGACTTCGGGCAAACCAACAAACAGACTGGCGGGGGGGGGGGTTTGCACATAAGGGGGTTGCTACAGAATGGCGTTTCTGCCCTACAACGTGTGACATGGTTCCCGCACCCCCAAACCACCAGGAACGAGGGTTCAATGGGGTATACAGACCCCTGAGTGGTGTTTTCTAGTGGCTGTTACCCTCCCGAACGTTGTTCCTCCCAGTCCAATTCCGTGTTTGTTGGAAAGCGGGTAGTTCTCTTGCAGCACCTCGCCCAAGCAAGCCCGCTTTCCCTTTCCAAGGGTCAAAGGGATCTTTCATACGGATCTGCCTTTGTGTGGGGGACCCCCCCAAAAATGGTGGTGTTTCTTTGGTTTCCCTTCAAAACCACAACAGAAGGTACCCAGAAAGAACGCCACCTTTATATGGCTGTTTCTCACGGGGAATCCTTTTTGGGTGCAAGGAATTCGACCACCTGGGTTCAGATGGTGAGAGGCCCGCTCATAGGCTAAAAACGAGGTGCCTTTTGCGAGGCATCCTCGTTTGACAGTTGGCTGATTGGGAGGAGATTCAGTTGAGCCATGGCACCTGTGGGTGCGTCATGTTTGAAAGACTGAAAGAAACCCGAGGTATGTCAAACTGACAAGCCGCATGCAGCAGTTGCTTTCCCTTTGTGCACCTATTGTGCGTTTGAGTTCTCTGGTACGTTGCAGGGGGTTGGGACGCTTGAGCTTAGGCCTTAGGTCCGCACGCCATCCTGCCATTGCTGGCAGATTTTGATGGGTCATGCGTACCACAGGTTTTTACTACGCGCCTCATTACCTACCCCTGGTTTTTTCTTACCCAGAACCATGATGTCAGGGAACCCTGGTTTGGATTTGACACCCTTATTGTAGAGAGAAAATGGGAACCCGCCCCGGAACAACACCAAACCACCTGGCTCCAAATCACCAACCTGGGGAACAGGGCCATGGGACTCGCACGTGATTACAACATACTCCGAGGAAAGTGGCGAAGTAAGCCGTGCCCAGGCTTACTCCCCTATAACCAAGGGGAGTGCCTTAGGGAACACCAAGAATGACCTGGCCCCCGTTTTTTAGGGCCCTCCCTCTTACAAGAGACCCACATTCGGGCTTTCGGGGCTCCTTTCCCGTCAACTTGCAGCCGAAATGGCTGTGGGTCAAAACCAATGGGATCCCATTTTTTCGGGGCACCACCCATTTTGGGAGCTGCTTTGGTGGGGATTGAATCGGATGTTCACCGGGGGTACGGGCTTTGGGTTTTGACCCATAGGCCAAATGGGCCACGTCCTCAAAACCCGGGTAGATGAAGGTTGGTAAGGGGCATTCCCAGCCAGAAATAGTTGCGGCCGCCTTCCTGATTCTTGAAGCATGATTCTGGGATCACGACCATTTTAATATCGGGTTTTAATTGTGACTCAAATGGGTTCCTTTGCTTCCAAGGTGCTGGGCTGGACCATCATGCTGCTCTTCCTCTGCCAGATGCTCTTCGCCCTGGTGGTGCAGCAGATCTTGTTGCCCAGACCGAAGAGTTTTTCTCCGTGCTTGGTGTTTCAACATTCTCATTATTTTATGATATAAGTGTGTGTCTATATATGATATATTTATTATAGTATATATACACATATATATATATATCATATGTAAAATTTGTGTTTTGTACTTTTTTTGTTTCCGTCATTTGTTCAATTGCCAGCCTAAAAGTGAGCTTGCCGGGGGCTCTAAGTCTAGGTTCGGCTTCTACTTTGACCCATCGAACCTGGAGATCCTCGATGATCAGAGAGGCCGGCTGCGTTTGGCCAAACCGGCCCGGGGCGCGGGGCGCGGGGCGGATGGCCTTGGTTTCAGGTTGTTGTTGGGAATTCGGGGGTTGATCAAAAGGTCCTTTACATGGGATGGCCATTGGGGAGAACCACCGAAATGCTGACAATACAACCACTAGATGGGAACAGTTAGCCATGGTCATTTGGAGGCCTTTCCATGGTTGTGGGACATATTTGTCCCATTCTTGCTTGTTTAGTGGCTTAGTGGTTGAAATCCAACCACTTAACTGCTATTTTTTCAATTGTTGCTCCCCTGCCAATGTCAACTAAGTTTTTCAGCGAGTTTGGGTATGTTTGGGCCACTGAAAAGCATCGCCTTTGCCAGCTGATTTGGAGGATCGCCCTTGCAAGGTGGATTTTGGATGTGGGTATGGGCAAAATTAAAGCATCAGGAGTCATTCACCGATCCGGCAACCCGTTTTGGGGTTACTCCATGTTTGACACCTCCCATGTATCCCATAGCCCGGGTTGACACCCAGATTTGAGTAACATGCCGAACGAAAGTAGTAGCCAAAGCGAGAAGAGAATCAATCCGTCTCAAATGGGACACGCTCGATTCATTCACCAGGGATGGTTTAATGCGGGGTGAGAACCTCCCAATTGCTCGGTTGTTGTTGGGAAGCAAATGTTACGTATTTTTGCTTATTGTGGTTTAGTGGTTGAAATCCAAATCCACTTGGCTGCTAAAATTTGTCATTTGTTGCTCCCCTTTCAACGTCAACCAAGTAATGTGGGGTGAGAACCTCCCAATTGTGCAATAGACGCTTTTTGCGGCGAATCCATTCGTTTGCAGGTCCTAATTCCGCCCACTAGGAATTGGGTTAAGTGCGGCAAATCTATGGATCCACCCCTATGAAGTATTCAAAAGGCGCTGAAAGAGTACAAGTACAAACAACGGTCCGCTTTTGCAAGCTTTACACGTCACCTTTTTGGGGGCCCTTCGAAGTGAGTTTGCTGCGGGGTGATTTTTGAAGCGGGGGACTGCTGCGAACCCTGAAAAGGTGACCAGAAAGAAGAACAGGCGGAATCGACAGGAGGTGCTTTCCAACAACTTGTTTTCTAGCGATAAGGTGAGTCTACTGTTGGTTTTCAGAGGAGATGGGAGGACGAAGCAAACAATCAGGCCTACCCAATTTTCTCATGTCCTCCTGGGGAGACATTAAACAACATGTCCGAAGTCCAGATTTTCTTTTGGTTGGCAGGGATGGTTATGGACCCCTTAATGGAACATTTGTCGGTGCGTTTGTTTGAGTGTAACTTTTTTGGGACGGTTCAAAGAGACACCAACTGGAAGCCCCGATGTTGGCACATACCCACGTAGAGCACCAGGATCCCGATTCACGGAAGAACCCCCGCGGAGATCTGGGCCAAAACCGATTCCCGTTGGCCGTAGTGGTAGTTGGCTTAATGGGGTCGGCTCACACATTCCTGAACGACCATGTTGGCAGAGCTGCGTGGCCAACTCTTACGTTTTGAACCACTATTATATAAAAGCAGCTTGCCTCCTTTCGGTTTCCAGGCAACCGCTGTTTGCTTTTTTCTCCACACATTTCGAGTGGCTTCGACCCATGGTCATGGACCTCCAACGCCGCAGGGGGGAGATAGGCCTTTCGGAGAAGCCCTGAAGGAGGCCCAGTTAAGGACTGAGTAGGGGTTAGCCCACGTGCCAAGGATAGATAGAGTCTATGTTGCCTAGGTCCCCCAATACTGCCCTTTTACTCCTTTTTTTTTGGGAGGGTTCCCCTACTAAAATAGACGGCAGAAAAAATGGTACCCCTATTCTAACCTCTCTACTGGAGGACCTAGTTGCAGCCAAGAACCTTTGGGAGCACAAATACCCAGAAGTTGGTGGGTTGCCAATTTTGGAGAACAAATACCCCAAAAGTGGGGTGGGTTGCCAAATCGACCATCCACGTGGACAATTGAACCTTTTAGAGCACAACTACCCAAATAGTTGGCGGGTTGCGAAACGAACACCTTTGGTCTGCATGATACCGAACATTGAACCTGTTAGAGCACACATACCCAGAAAGTTACTTGCAACATAGACCATCCACGTTCTTTTTACATCGCAAAATTGCCTGCCGCCTGCCATGGTTGTTGTTGGGAAGCATTGAAGCATTTCTTCCATTTTGCTTATTGAGGTTTAGTGGCTGAAATCCAAATCCACTTAGCTGCCAAAATTTGTTTCCATTTGTGCTCCCCTTCCAAGCTGCCAGCCAAGCTGCGCCGCCTGCTTATTGTGGTTTAGTGGCTGAAATCCAACCACTTAGCTGCCAAAATTTGTCAATTTTTGCTCCCCTTCTGCCGCCTCCCCTGCCAACGTCAGCCAAGCTGCGCCTGTTGCCTGAGAAGTCTACATGTACTTCGGCACCTTCTCGCGGGCTCTGCTGTCGCTCTTCGAGATGACTTTGGCCAACTGGCCCCCGGTGTGCCGGATGCTCATGGAGTCGGTGTCCGAGTGGTGGATGCCCTTCTGCCCGCCGGCCCGGAAAGAAAAAACAAACACGAGGAAGCAGATCGCAAATGCCGGAAGGCTTGCCATAGGTGGCCTTTTTAGGTTCAGGTGGTGAGGTAACCACGCCAAGAACAGGGTAACACCGCCAAAAACAGGGTAACACCGCCTTAAACGGACGGTAAATACGCCGCACGAAATACCTTCATATTCTCCTTTTATTCTCCTTCTATTCTCCTTCTATTCTCCTTCTATTCTCCTTCTATTCTCCTTCTATTCTCCTTCTATTCTCCTTCTATTCTCCTTCTATTCTCCTTCTATTTCCTTCTATTTCCTTCTATTCTCCTTCTATTCTCCTTCTATTCTCCTTCTATTCTCCTACTATTCTCCTTCTATTCTCCTTCTATTCTCCTTCTATTCTCCTTCTATTCTCCTTCTATTCTCCTTCTATTCTCCTTCTATTCTCCTTCTATTCTCCTTCTATTCTCCTTCTATTCTCCTTCTATTCTCCTTCTATTCTCCTTCTATTCTCCTTCTATTCTCCTTATTTTGCTCATTCCTGCTTCCTTTTGCTACATTCTCCTTCTATTCTCCTTATTTTGCTCATTCCTGCTTCCTT